GCCGCGCCCCTCCCACCCCGACCGCGCAGCCTACGGAGGCCCGGCGGGATTTGTCGGAAAGCGGACCCCGCGACCAATCACCGCTCCCACTTGGCCGATTGACAGCGAGCGCCCCGGGCCGGCTGCGGGGAAAGGGGTGGGGCCTCCAGAGGTTGGCAGCCAATTGAGGCCGCCCGGAAGAACGCCCAGGGCGTTGCCGAGGTAGGCTGAGCCGCGTCAGGAGGTGACGTCATGACCTCGTTCTTAAAGGACCGCGGGCCGCAGCAAGTGGAGTTGGAGCGGTGCGCGGGTGCCGTCTGGAGTCTGGCGAGCCGCCGAGTTCACCCGTGCGGGTGGATGTCTTTCCTGCGTCCCAGCACCTCAGACCACGCTCCTTCGTGAGTGCGCCCTTTCAGAGGAGGCTGGCTTGAGGTCTCGCCTGCCCAGGGGGGTCTCAAACCCGCGGGCTCAGGCAATCCACTCACCTCAGCCTCCCAAAGGCGCAGGATTACAGGCTCAGAGTATTTCTTTATTGAGCACCAAGGAGTATCCTTTGCCTTGTACAAATTACGGCTGTGTGATCATTTGGTCCTGGCGTTGGCACCCTTACGGCAGTCACATCCTCAACCAGCTGGGCTCAGGCGACCTGCTATATGCCCGCGGAGCGCTTCTATCCATTTTGCGTAGGTTACGTCAATTCCATGCAACAGTGTCAGGTAGTTGTGTTGACTTCCACTGTACAGACGATGAACCGAGGAAGGAGGTCGCACTTAGGTAACCCGCACGAGGTTACGGAGCTGAGATTAGCACACCAGCAGCTCCTGCAGATCGTGCTGGGTTCAGTTGCATCAGAGTGCAGGATAGTCGAATCCTAAATTCGTTGACCAAACCGACCCATATTTAACTCCTCTCTGTGTATACCACTCCCACTAGACTGAGTTTTTTTACTTTTACAAAGTAAATTTTGTAAAATGGAAGCACAATATCATACAGATATGTGCAGAAGCCCTAAGTGTACCCCTCAATGTATGATTAAAATGTGGACACACTTGTGTAACCATCACTGACTTTAAGAAACAGCATGACCAGCACCCCAGAAGCTCCCTACCCCTCTCAGTCTGTGGCCTGTTCCTCCTCTCTGGTGACTTCTATCCTGAATTCTGAAAACATGTTAGAAATGCCTATTTCTGAGCCTTATGCAAATGTTATTATCGCTGTGTATTTGTTTGAATCTGGCATCTACACATTCATAAAAGGATCACTGTGTAGCTATAAAAAATAACCAGAGCTCTATATAATCGGATAGGAAACTCATCAGGACATGTTGCTAAGTAAAAGCAAAGGAAGAGCCAGACAGAGTGCAGAATATTATTTATTTTTTTCTTCTTATTTAAGAGATGAAGTCTTTCTATGTTGCCCAGGCTGGTCTCAAACTCCTGGGTTCAAGTGATCCTCTCACCTTGGACTCCCGAAGTGTTAGGATTACAGGTGTGAGCCACTGCACCTGGCCTGCAGAATATTGTATGCATTAATGTTGAGAGTACATGAGATATCTTCAGGCTTCTCGCTCTCTTTTGGGGGGGGCGTCTTGCCGTATTGCCCAGGCTGGACTGGTCTTGAACTTCTGGCATCAGGAGATCCTTTACTCTCAGGCTCCTTAGCATTCATGTCTCTTTAACATAGGAAAGGAACCATTGGTAAATATGGGTAAATGGAGGGAGAATTAGTTTTTAGCGTATAAACTTTTGCATGGCATTGTTTTTAACTTAAGCATGCATACATTACTTTTTAAATGACATCTTTGAATAACTGAAAAGTCTGTATGATGAACACACATACATTTACAAAGCATTGTTGTGGTCTTGCTTGTGAAGAAACTCCATGTGTGCTGGGCAGTGGGGGCAATGGTATTGGGGGTGGAAGCTGCTGAGACAGGCTAGAAAAGAGCCCCAAAGCATATGTTGTAGAAGGCTGTGGAACAAACCAAGCTGGAGGCAGGAGGGCAGGCTCATCAATTACCTCTGAGATAACTATCAAGAGGATGATCTCAGAAACCTTGCATTGGGGGAAAAAGAAACAGAAAAATGAGAGAAAGGGAGGGAGGTGAGAGTGAATTCCCCACACTCACAGGACTAGCCGCTCCCCAACTGCCCCCTCTAGCCACCCTCTCAGCATCCCCAGACAGCACCTTCCTGACCTGCTTGTCACCCAGCGCTTGGGTTCTTGTGATGCTCTCAATCTCAGTAACGTGCATTCCTGGAATAAACTCTACTTGGTTATGATGTATTATCCTTTTAAAAATATTGTTGGATTCAGTTAGCTACACATTTTAAGAATCATTGTGTCCATGTTTATGAAAGAATTTGATCTAGAGTTTTCTTTGTCTTTTCCAGGCAAAAATATCTGGTTTAGTATCAAGATAATGCTAGTCTTACAGAATTGGTTGAAAAGTCTTCTCTTGACTTTAATTTTCCTGAAGTGTTTGTTTAGAATTGGTGATATTTCTTCCTTAAATATCGATAGATTTTACCAATGAAGCCATCTGGGCTTTGAGTTTTCTTTGTAGAAAGGTTATTACCCACAAATCCAATTTTTTTTTTCAGTCGGAGTCTCACTCTGTTGCCCAGGCTGGAGTGAAGTGGCACCCTTACAGCAATCACATCCTCAACCTGCTGGGCTCAGGCGATCTTTTTGCCTCAGCCTTCCAAGTAACTGGAACTACAGGCCCACCACTATGCCTGGTTAAATTTTTGATTTATTGTAGGGCTTGCCAAATTGCCCAGGCTAGTCTTAAACCTCTGGCCTCAGGCAATCCTCTCAGCTTTGCCTCCCAAATTGGGATTACAGGTGTGAGCTACCATGCCTGGCCTGCAAATTCAATTTTTAAAATTTTGAGCTATTCTTCATTCACCTGCATTTACCAATGGCCCCTTCCCCACATAAAAGACACCTGGATACTCAGTAGTCTTGAGACAGAAGGTTGTCCTCAGCCCAGGAGTTTGAGAACAGAGCCTGGACAACATAGTAAGACCTTCATCTCTAAAAAAATTTATAAGTTAAAAAAATTAGTGAGGCTGGTACCACATGCCTGTAGTTCTAGCTATTCAGGTTATTTATTTCTTCTTTTGTAAGCTTTGTTAGGTTGTATTTATTACAAATTTGTCCATTTTGTGTCACTTGTTGAATTTATTGACAAAACGTTTCCTGTTGTCTCTTATTTTCATTTTAATGAATGTCTGTAGTATCTATAATGATGTCTACTCTCATTCCTGATATTGGTAATATGTGTATTCTTTTTCCCTGATCAGTCTGGTTAGAGACTTTTGTATTTTATTTATTTTCTCAAAGAATCAGCCTTTGGTTTAATTGATCCCTTCAATGATTTTTACATTTTTAAAGAATTGTCACAACAACAAAGAAGAGGATCCTACAGAGACATATGTGGCCTGCAAAGCCCAAGACACTTTCTAAATGTTTCTTTACGGAAAAAGTTTGTTAACTCCTATTCTAGACCTATATGACTGCATATGAAGAGTTGTTTTTCTTTCCTGCCTAGATCCTCAACAAGCCTGCCTGGAAATGAGAGAAAGCAAGCAGAGGAAGTTTGATGAGCATGTGAAGGCGATTGGTAAATTGCACAAGCATCTCATGGTCTCTTTGGTTGCAAAGCAGCCCATAATCTCTTCCTCTGGGGTGGAGGGAGACAGGAGGGAAGGGAAGGGGTAAGGGGGAGAGGAAGCAGGGAAGCTTTTGGCAATGGAACTTATTAGAATTCCACAGTGACCAAGAACTTGAAGGGGTTATTGTTGGCCTTTCATTTCATGGGTAGTAAAATGAAGATGACACTGGCCTGGTTTGCACCGGGACAGTGGAGCTGGGAAGGTGGCCTCTTTTGGGATGTACATGAAAATAGAACTGAGAGAACTTGCTTCTGGATTGGATAGGGGGATAAGAGAGAAAGAGAGAAGTCTGGAACAAAACCTCAGATTTCAACTCAAGTAAATGAAAGAATGAATTTGTGCTGTAAAAATGGCCAAAATTAAAATGGAATTATGGTGTCAAATCCTCACAAATGGAGCCAGGGAAGACCATGGAGGGAGGGTTTTAATGAACATGTGCTTGATAACGGGAGCTGTCACAAAAGACTGCAGAAACTACAACATGCACAAAGGCCACCACAACTTTATCAAAAAATACTTCTGTGAGAACAACTGCCCAGCAACTTTCTGTTCAACACTGGACTGACACCACCCTTGTTATTGATCCTTGTGGCCAGGGTAATTGTCTTAAAGCAACCTATATAACCATCTTCATTTTTCTTTAAAACAAAACCAAAAACTATGTCTTCCTTTACCTCCCTAAATACATTCCTGTCTATTCCCATTACAATGCCCAATCCTGAATAAACATCATTTTCTTTTAGAGAGACTCTGTCTTGTCTGTTATTTGGGTTTGACACTGTTGAGATAAGAAAGATGGAGAAAGGTGGCAGGAGTGGTCCATGGGCATCAAGAGTTAGGGGGTTGAAGCTAGCCTGTTTCCCCTGCTTTGTTTTTCCTTCACTCTTAGCATTGTGTGAAATCTTCCTGGTATTTCAGTGCACGTTGAGCACTTGCCAGGGCCTTGCTCTGTTATGGTCTCACCAGTCTTTCCCCAGGGCTTTCCTGCTTGGAGGGATCTAACAACATATTTTTACCACTTCCTAACGCAGGGTGAAGATTTTATTTCTGAGGCAGGATCTCACTTTGTTGCCCAGGCTGGAGTGCAGTGGCATGATCAACGCTCACTGCAGCGTGGACCTCTTGGGCTCAGGTCATCCTTCCACCTCAGCCTCCCAAATGGCTGGGACTGTATGTGCGCACCACTATGCCTGGCAATAGTGGTGCGTACATACTGTCCCAATAATGTTTTTTATTTTTTGTAGAGATGAGGTCTTGCTGTGTTGCCCAGGCTGGTCTTGAACTCCTGGGCTCAAGTCATCGTCCTGCCTTAGTC